TTAAAAACACTTACATTAATAACAATCTAATGTTGTTATTATTATTATTATAAATGAAATTAGCAGTGTTGAAATTTCAATTCATCTAATATATGTGGTTGCAAAATATTGAATATGAAGTTTGTTTTTATTTAATATCATTACAACGTTTATTTAGTATTACTCTTACTTCCTTACTTCTCAAATATAAAGGCCTGGAAACGAATGATGCTTCTTGGTACCATCAATGGTTGTAAAGTAAGCTTCTCGAACGCGCCAAACCCATTAGTAAGAACTGACTTAACCATCATAGTATAAGAATGTGCAAATCAATCTATATTATTCTGAAAAATTATTTGTTGTTAGGATTATTAAACAGTTCTTGCCACATATCTAATCATGATTAAGAAAAATATCCATGAATTTTAAAAAAAAAACTGAAATCTGGAATTCAATCTTCAAAGAATTCAAAAGAAGCTCGTGTGGAAGAAGACGCACGGGAATAAAAAAAACTTGTATGCAGTGGCGGATCCAGAAAAGTTTGGTATTGGGGGCACCGCTAGATGACACATAATAATGGCAGAGACACATTATTTTGGAATCTACTTATTAGTTTTTTTGACAGATTTTTTTGCATTAAAACAAAGGAAAAGTTCTCGAAATGAGACTAAAAAAGTTCAAAAATTCCAAAATAGAACTGCCATGTTTTTATTCCCAAAATAGGACTAATTACTGCCAAATTTGGAAAATACTGCCATGTTTGAAGTCTGTTACTATCAAAACATGGCAGTAATTAGTCTTATTTTGGGAATAAAAACATGGAAGTCCTATTTTGGAATTTTCAAACTTTTTTAGTCCCATTTTGGGTAATATCTCCTAAAACAATAATATATATATTGTTCTATTATTTTATTGTAAACTCATTTCAAAAACACAAATCTAAATCAATTGCAAATAGTATTACAGGTGCAACATGCAAACAAGTAGTTTAAAAATTCGTTCAAATATTACATTAAATTTAATTTATCTTTGAAATTAAAAGAAAGTAAATACACAATTAACAATAATTCAAGACACTACACACCAAGAATACTTATCTGACATTAAGAGAAACAAAACTAAAACTAAACCGTTATATTGATTTTTATCTAAGCATTTGATCAATATTCATCATCTTAAACAATTTTTTTATCAAAGTATTATCGATCAAAATACTACATAACTGCACACTAAAAAGAAAGAACTGAGATGAACTCAAGTCTAATTCAATTGCAACACCCGTACTCATGGAAAATGTATAAACTCAAATATTACGAAATCAATACATATAAAAAATGTCAATCAATAATTTACTAGTTTTAAAATAAAACAAATTCATACCGAGTAAAGTTATACTAAAGAATGGAGGAAAAAGTAAACAATCAATAGCTAACTTTTTCCTGAATTAATTAACCACCTTTGTAAAGTAACAACTAAGACATGTACCACGCTTTTTCAGTGTCGTATTATATGGAATTTTAATCAATATTATTGTGGGCCTTAGGCCTTCTTCCATAACTATAAAAGTTACTATATATGTACTAGTATAAGTTAATATTGAATATATAGAATAAAAAAATAAATTTCTCACTCTTATTTTTTTTTTCTGTATCCGTCTATTTAATTGGGTTATGAGAGCATCTTTCTTTTTTTGTTGGGGGCATTTTCTTTTTCTTATTGGGGCACACCTCTAATTATTTAATAAAATATAATTTATAAAGCTAAAAAATTGGACTTTGTTGGGGGCAAGTGCCCCCAATAGTTTGAGTGTGTATCCGCCCCTGCTTGTATGGATGCTTGTGCTGAAAACCAATTGCTATTATAGGTCTCCGTTGAGCAGAATTATGATAAAGAAAGAACTATAGTAATAATCAACAAAACTAAGATTGTAATTAAGTTATGATAACACTTGTTGCAAAGGGAAATATAGTAGTAGATGTATTCTTAAGTTCATTAAAAAAAAATTAATGAACTGAAAGGTTTTTAGAATACCATTGTTTCACTGAAGAAGAATTAATAGTTTTAGAGTTAAACAGTTAGGATTTTACTTTGTCAATAAAGAACAATTGTTGACGTATTTCAAACAGCAGTAAAAATGTACAAGTATATTATACCAGAATTAATTCTACATAACACTTTTTCACAATTCTTTACTCTGAAACATAATTTTCGAGCCAAAGAAGAGGACCATCAATAAATCACTAATGAAAAGTAAGTTCATACCAAGCCAAGTAAAAAATGGCAGAAAATTATTTTAGTTTCCGCGATACGACCAATAAGAAAAATAGTGGGTACTAACATTCTCAAAAACATATCTCCATCTAAAACTATATAGTTAATAGATAGTAAGAGACATGTTTTTACAACAATGGTTGATAGTAAGATATGCCAATTGCCTAAACATTATGATCATCAGACACGAAAGGAGTGGAATGTCCTAATAATCCATTTGTTAGGAGTGCTTACCACTTGATTGTTCAGTTAAGGTACCTACAATGGTTATACAATTATAATAAACATAATGTAAAATCCATTAGTAAGAACTGACTTAACCAGGATAATATAAGAATGTGCAAATCAATTTATATTCTTGAATGAAAAACTATTTGTTGTTAAATTTATTAAACAGATCTTGCCACATCTTTGATCATGAGCATTTAGTGATTGGGGAATAGTGTGGACTTATGTTATTGGTAAGAATAACATTCATAAGTAATTAAAAATCTGAAATATGAAATTTCAGATTTTATGTCACTAGTGAAAAGTAAGTTCATTCCATGTCAAATAAAAATGGCAGAGAATAATTTGAGTTTCCCCGATACGACCAGTAAGAAAAATAGTGGATACTAACATTCTCCAAAAAAAATTCTCCATCTAAAACTATATAGTTAATAGATAGTAAGAGACATGCTTTTACAACAATGGTTGATAGTAAAATATGTCAACTGCCTAAACATTATGAGCATCAGACACGAAAGGAATGTTCTAACTTGTTAGAGTGCTTACCACTTGATTGTTCGGTTAATGTAGACAATGTTTTTGCTCAGGGTTCACCTGAATGACATCGTCTGTCGAGAAAAACTCTGGCCTTGTAACATATTTTAGTTCAGATTCCACATTTTCGAGAGTCAAAAACTTTGCAGCTAGGTTTGGTCTTTGTTGCATTGCACAGACCAAAATGGATCAGTGGGATTCACATTTGTAGTGTCATCTGATAGACCATTAATAATTACAGATCTCACGTAGTAGCCCAAGTAGAAAGTAAAAAAAAATACACTTTTGACATCATACACACATGCTCGAATAATTGAAACAAAAGGCAAGCAAATGGCCCTGATTGATGCATAATTAAGATTAAAGTACAAAGCAGCTGAACCTTGATACCTAATTTTCTTTTGATCCTTGAGACTGTGTTGAAGTTTCCACGACGTGTGACAAACCAACATAACGAGTACTAATTAACTTCTTACTATATTTTCCACAACAATTTTATAACCTAAAAATGAAAATTAAGGCATGAATTAAGTCGTCTAACATAAACAAAAAACAAAAGATGAAACCAAGACTAGACAGACAGAAAAGATGAAATGTTCAGGTGCCGTGCCTAGTTGTGGCACCTGATTTCTTCCATGGTGACTCTACTAACCCAGGAAAAGCCAAGAAATTGTCAAGATATGGATGTGTGTCATAGATGATATGCCTTTGTAAACCTGAATAATTAGTTGCATATATAATACAATGTCGACTAACTCGTATTCAACATTCGTATTTGGGAATTAATATTCATACCTGAATTGATGTATCCCACTAAAGAGTTGTTCAATCAATTCCATGGATGCCTGGAGTTTCCATTGCTAGAAGTATGGAGTTATGTCGATGGAAGATGTTAAAGAAGTCGATCGAGATGGAAACGTCGAAAGAGATGTCAGGCAATATGGCTGTACATGGAAATTGCACACTCATGGTGAAACTGCGCTCAGTTTTCTGTGTAATATGAAAGAAATGGATGAAGTGAATGAGTTTATTGCCGACAACCATCCAAATGAGCTTAAATAGCTTAGAAGCGAGAAGCGAGAAATTTAAATGGTTTAGGGGGGATGATTGTGCTTTTAGGTATATAAGATATTATTAACACCCCATTTTTTTAAAAATTTTTCTTAACTCTTAGATGAAAACATTATTATCAATTTAATTGAAAGTACTTCTATTATTAACATTTCATTTTCAAAAATGATGTTTGTACTCACTCTTATACTCACTCATGTTTGTGAAAGTTTTTTTGTCTGTGAATTCCATTTACAGACAAAAGACATCTTATTTTGTCTTAATTTGCACAAACAAAATAAAACATAATTTGTCTGTAAACAAGATTCATAGACAAAGAAAATCCTTCACAGAGGTGAATATGAATCCGGAGCCTCTGACTTGCTTTAGAGCAAGGGAGAGTGCCTTGGACAGCCGTTTGATTGCAAATTCAACAGGAGTAGATCTTGGGGTCCATACTTTCCCTGATCTCGAGGTCGTCCTCATCACTGCCCGACCGTTCGATGCGCAAGGCACCGGGCCTACCAACACTTTCATTTTTAACTCTTACAAATAAAGTAAGTTGTTGTTTTACAATTACGGAATTACCCTCCCTTCGACCCTTCCGGACCCACCAACACTTGTCAACCCTCTCCATCCAAACAGCGCCCTCTTTCTCACTGACCATCTCCAAGCTAACCCTTGGAATCGGAGAGGATAATCACTATATAGTCGCTGAAAAATCCAGCGAAGGGAATGGCGACACTGGCTCGGTCCTCTAGAAGAGCCCTAGCAACCACTGTCTCCTCTTTTTTTCGAAACGAACGACGTCAGCTCCGTCGCCCGCTGGCCACTGAAGCGCACGCGGCAATCAAGGATTCATCGCTAGATCGAATCAAGTGGGACTATAGAGGGCAGCGAAAGTTAATACCCCTGGGGCAGTGGGCTCCTAAGATAGCAGTGGACGCGTACGTAGCCCCAAATGCCGTACTCGCCGGTCAGGTAACCGTCTGGGACGGCGCATCTGTCTGGAATGGTGCCGTTCTCCGCGGGGATCTCAATAAGATCACCATTGGCTTCTGCTCTAATGTCCAGGAAAGATGTGTCGTTCACGCCGCTTGGTCATCACCCACGGGTCGGTAGACACCAATTTCACTCTTTTAATTATTTGCTAAAGTGTAGCCTGGCCTAACATTTTAGCTTGGAAATCGAATGTACACTTAGGTTGTTGCTAGAAATCAAACCAAAAAAGGTGCCATCAGCCATAGTCAAAACCTTTTAATCGACCAAGCTACCCTGAATTACATTTCTGTGGACAGAATCTCTATCCAACTTCCTGAAGGTTCTTCGTGTGTGTGAAGTAAATTTAGTTAAGTTGTTTATGTTACCAAGGAGCATCTTAGGCTTAAAATGAAACTTTTATACCTTGTAAAAGTCTTGTGGAATGCATCTTTCTAGGTCCTGACTCCCGAGACACTGACACTATGCTGTAGTGACTGCATTTCGTTTTGATAGAGAACTTAGATTAATGGAAATCCTAGGAGAATAGCTCAATACAATTACAGAAAACATTGAAACATTAAGATTACGTGTATTTTTATATTATACTACTACGTGGTATGCATTAATTCAGGGGGTTTGTCACTAGAAGGGGGAAAAGGAAAAGTGGAAAACATTGCAGTATCAAGTGATTAAGTAAGCTGAGATTTTTACGGAAAATGCTATTTTGATGTCTCAACTTTTCTTGATTCTAAAATATAGTCCCTCATTGCCATTTTACGGAAAATGCTATTTTGATGTCTCAATTTGATTCAACAATTATATAAAAGATTGTCAATTCAGTTATCACATTCAAATAGTCCCATCATTTTTGAGAAGATAAAAGAAAAAATACACAAGCCTCTGGGAAATTGCAAAAGATGCCCAAGTCAAATGGCTCCATAATGATGGGTTGAGAGACTCAATTGACAACTCTTTAAATTAATGAGAAGCGTAACTACTTCAAATTGATACTGAGGGACACATTCCATAATTGAAAATAAGTGAGGGATCAAAACAGCAACTTCCCCTATTATATTATGTAAGTCTAGAGGGTCAAATATGCCCTCGAACTAACCTAAAAAGTGCAAATCACCCCTTATATAGGAGGCTCTGTTTGGCCGTCGCCATTTGGGGCGGTTCCCAGTGGAATTTTTTGATGAAATTTTTTGAGCATCTTCATCATTAAGTCTAGTTTATTCATACCAAATTTCAGCTACAAATTCAATCGGGAAGGCAGTCAAATGAATTTTTGAAGATACCTGTGCAGTTAAACAACGCAGTACATTTCAGAAAATCATTTGACTGTCTTCCCGGTTGTATTTTTATCTAAAAATTGGTATGGGTAAACTAGACTTAATGAAGAAGATTCTCAAAAAATTTCATAAAAAAATTCCACCGAGAACCGCCCCAAATGGCGACGGCCGGATAAAGCCTCCTATATAAGGGGTGATTTGCACTTTTTAAGTTGGTTCGAGGGCCTATTTGACCCTTTAACCTATTATGTAACTTATTTTGGGAAGGGGGTTTCCTATTCATGGCTCAAAACAGGTGGACTTTCAATTTCTGATCACCACATTTCCTTTGAAGTGTACAACTATACACATGGCTCACCTCTTTACAAAAATTCCTCTTTTTCATTGTTCATCGTCACTCTATCAGGGTCTTGATCCATTGCTTACTTTCTTCCACATGGAAACTAAGTTTCTTCCTCGACTGAATGACTGAATAACAAGCCAACATATGTTCTTGTTATATTCTCTTTTATCTTTCAGAAGAGTCACATATTTGAGCTCACTTTTGAAAGGCAAAGCAATGCAAACAACATACTATTGGTGTGATTGGCATAACTCGTGCACGACCAATCTCTCATAACTCATGAACTTGGCATTGTTGTGAAAATGTCACTTAGCCCTGATTAGCATCCGTTTAAACACAAGCTTCTTTGGGTGTCTAACAAATTTCCTGCATCGGTCCCTCTTAATACCAACTTATATCTCGTCTGGTGTCAAAAGTGTTTTTTCACCAATCAATGCGTTGTTTTGGGAAACTCAAGGTGCATTCTTCCAAGTCCCTTGTGTCTATAACAGTAAGGATTTGATAGTGTTTGGATGCTTTCATAAAGATGGACTGATAGAACCTTTTGAGAATCATTTTGGGGGGGAGTAGGGATGAAGGGTGTTCCTCTTCTTGGGTCCAAGTAGATAGTAACCAACTTGGATGTATAATCAATCATACCCCCTCCGTCCCCTATAACTTTGCCAAAGGTGACTACACGTAGAATAATAAGATAAAAACCGTGTCATTGAGGTTTGTGCAGATTAGATAGAATTAACAATTATTACAAATTCTTTATTTATAAGGGAAATTGACAAAGTTAGTGGGGCCATCAAAAAAGGAAAATTGTCAAGGTGATAAGGGATGGAGGGAGTGTTTTTTTGTTATCATCTTCCCCTGCATCACGAGAATGAATGAATGACGTTGACTATCAATCTTCTGGGTTTCAAGGGATAAACATGGTTTTTTCTAGTTGTAATTTGCTCTTTGAGTACAGCAGAGTTCTGTTCATACTCTAACAATGTCTTTTTTATGACCCCCCCAAATGATACTGGGTTTTCTTTCCAGCTCAGCATCAACAACTTTTCCCTTGTAGTTTTGTGTTTGTTTATAATGTTTAATTTGTTTGTGACCAATACAATTTCTCCTGAGCATCAATCGACAGACTGAAGAGTTGTTTTTCACAGTTTTGAGTTGTGTGTCAGTGTTTGCAATGTGTAGACTTGCAATTTATCATTTGAATGGTTAAACAGTTGATGTTTTGTAATCATTTGAATTTTCTGAAACTGCACTGTAATTTCCAGCTGATTTTGAGATGTACTTAATAATTTAATATATATTTAATAAATTATAGAAATAAAATCTAATAAAAATGGCAGGGTTAATTTTCCTTTCCTTCCTGCCATTTCAGCAAAAAAGAACTACCCTACTTTTATTTATTTACATTATCAGCCTATGAACATTTCAACCAGCACAGTAAAATAAAATTGTAGACTAGTAATATTTGGTACAGTATCTGGCAGAAAATATATTTCTACCAAATCGATACACAGTATCATTTGCGTATTTTGAAAAAAGGAATCTCTTTCTTGTGAAACTTCCCAGGGCTTCCGGCAGACACATCTATCGAAAGGTATGTGACAATTGGTGCATGCAGCCTCTTGAGATCCTGCACGATTGAGCCAGAGTGCATCATTGGCCAGCACTCCATACTTATGGAAGGTTCTTTGGTGGAGACCCATTCAATCCTTGAAGCAGGATCTGTTGTTCCTCCGGGAAGAAGAATCCCAACTGGTGAGCTTTGGGCCGGGAATCCAGCAAGGTTCGTCCGCACTCTGACTCACGAGGAGACTTTAGAGATTCCTAAGCTAGCCGTGGCGATAAATGATCTAAGCAAGAACTATTTCTCAGAGTTCCTACCCTACTCAACAGTGTATTTGGAAGTTGAGAAGATGAAGAAGTCATTAGGAATCTCAATCTGACGTTTCTCGTCACTGGCTCAACTGCTCAAGTCCTGACGCTTTAGATTTTTCTCTTGATTCTCTTTTTTCTTTTTCTACAAAGAAAAATAATCAAACACGGGTTCCCTTTGGAATTGTATGCTTTATGTTGTATGTCTATACTCTGTATACATAATGTGTGCATTGCCTCTTTAAAAAGGGCGGGATCTCCTGCTATCATTCTGCGGATTTTAGAACTTGACCTTCACCTTAGGAAGGGAAAATGAATTTGATGTTGCTTGCATGCATATGATTTTTGGCTTATCGCATGTGACTATGTGAGGGTATCTTGTTTTTGTTTTAAACTTGAATTTTGTTATGCATTTATGAGCAGTCATCTTGCGCTAGTGTTGGACTCGGTTCGGGCCACCCGACCCGGGAACCGGCCCGGTACTGTAGGGCCCCGGCCCGGCCCGGCCCGGCCTGGGAACCGGGTACCGGTTCCGGGTCTAGGCCCGGTTTTAGGGTGTAACTGGGGGCGGTCCCGGGATAGGTGAAATGCGAACCGGCCTGGCCGATTCCGGGACCGGTTCGGGCCTTTTTATTCCGAAGGGCCGCCACGTTCATATCCCAAACATAGGCTGGTTTTGCAGAAGTAATTTTCCCGGTCTCCGTTCTAGGAAGCCATGCATCCACCCAGACTTGGACATCAATACAACATTCTTCTTGTATTAGAAGTTGTTCTCTTCGCCTGATCTGAATGTTTCTAATATGAATTTTTTAAGTTCTGATCTGATCTGATCTGAATTTTTCTGATCTGATCTGAATCTTTCTGATCTGATCTGATCTGAATCTTTCTGATCTGATCTGAATGTTTCTGATCTGGTCTGATCTGATCTGAATGTTTCTGATCTGATCTGAATCCTTCTGATCTGATCTGAATCTTTCTGATCTGATCTGATTTGAATATTTCTATAATTATAATTATAATAATAATTATTATAATTATTACAATTGTAATTAAAAATATAATTTAAATAAAATTATAATTATAATCCTAACTGTAATAATAATAATAATAATAATAATAATAATTAAAATTAAATTTAAAATGAAAAAATTTATACCTATTACACTAATTATAAATATAGATACAATTATAACTGTAATTATATTTTTAATTATAATTAATTATGTAATTATAATTGTAATTATAATTACAATATTTATCTCTATAATTGTAACTATAGTTATCAATATTATTATAATTAATCCGTAAAATAATTACAATAGTAATAATAATATTATTAATAATAATTATAATAAAAATAATAATTATAATCATAAATTATAATTATAATATAATTATAAGTATAATTATATTAACAGTAATTATAATATCATAATATAATAATAGTAATACAAATACAATTAATATTATTATAAAGATATTATTATATTAATATTATTATTACAATAATATAATAATAATATAATTATTGTTATTATAATAAGTATTATATTATTATAATTATATTTATAATCATAATTGTAATTATGATTGTATATATAGTTATAATTATTATTATAATTATAATTAATTATAATTATAATTAATTATACTTATAATTATAATAATTATAATTGACTATACTTATAATTATAAGAATTATAATGTAATATTATAATAATATTAATCATATTATTATAATTATTATATTGTAATAATAATAATATAATAATAATAATAGTAATAATAATAATAATAATAATAATAATAATAATAATAATAATAATAATAATAATAATAATAATAATAATAATAATAATAATAATAATAATAATAATAATAATAATAATAATAATAATAATAATAATAATAATAATAATAATAATAATAAAAGTGAAAACTTTTCTGATCTGATCTGATCTGAATGTTTCTGATCTGGTCTGATCTGATCTGAATCTTTCTGATCTGATCTGAATCTTTCTGATCTGGTCTGATCTGATCTGAATCTTTCTGATCTGATCTGATCTGATCTGAATTTTTCTGATCTGATCTGATCTGATCTGAATAAAATAAGAATAAGCAATAAGTAATAAGAATAAGACGAACAGAACAGCACCTTAATCTACAATTAATAATTGAAACATGGTCTATTGAATAGTAAAAATAACCATTTCAAGTAAAATAAGAAATATAAAAATTCAAATTACGAGTATAACTACTCCGTACTACCGTTTAAAAAAAAACTACTCCGTACTATGCGCACTAAAAAAACTACGCACATTTGGTGTCTCTGTTTTTTGTTTTATTTAACTTTTGATTTCACATGTTTAATTGTAATAATATGAAAAAGGTAATGTTGAAATTACTTTTATATTGGTTGAAGTTATTGTAGAGAGTCATTTCAACTATTTTTTCATATATTTTTTCTTTAAATTATTAATAAAATATATTTTAAATATAAAATTTTCATAAGTTGGGAGAATCGGTTTTGTCAAAAAAAAAGTTAGCACAATCAGCCAATGCATCAACCTTAATCGGAATTTTATAAATTTCAGTAGAATCAGTTAATGCAGTCAATTTGGGCATTAGCAAACGGGCTCTCCATATTAAGTTCTCAAGATTCATGAACAAAAGTGATGAAGTATGTATTAGCCCCATTGGGAATATATATTTACTTTCTCCTTTTCGAAGAATTTGTAGTATTACTTTTTAGTCAATGCAATTTTATGTTATTACTAATTAGCATATCAAAATTTATTATATTTTAATCCGAATTTCACTATTTTTATATAACCTTGAATGTAATTTTAAATACTCCGTGTGTGAACTTTGACTAATTTAACTATCGGCACAAATAGTTTAACTTATTGTGAGTGAATGTTGAAATTTGTTAGAGCATCTTTAACAAGAGCATCGATTGCTCTGAATGCATTGCCACGTCTAACTTCGAAAAAAAAGCATCTCCAACGGCAATATGGACGATAGCTGTGCTGCTGACCTGGAATGAAAAAAAAGGGACGATTTCTATCTCACCTTCTACTTTCAGAAAGTCCATCCCATGGCCAACTCAGCAAAAAATAAATTCCACCAATTTTTTCCGTATGGGAAATTGGGAATCAGCAAAAGCAACACTCTTTCCCTTCCGTCGAACACATTGCCGGACTGATTTTTAGTAAATGAGGGCATCAGATTCTACCATTTTTTTCCGTCAAACACACCGCCGGTCAGATCCCGTCTTCATCCTCTCTTCCGGCAAGACTGCAACAGCCTTATCAAATTTTTCTTCAGTTATGGCGCCTCTAATCCTAGGGTGCAGCCCCCGCCAGTCATCTCTATAGCTTCGACTCTTGATAATAGCGACCCGTCTCTTTACCTTGCCTCCGATCTCTATTCTTGAACCCCGAGCCTCCACCATGAATTTCAGCTTCAACAGAGTCATTTTATCAGGACCGAATATCTCCCAACTTTACAGATGGGAAATAATCTTGACAACTTTACTTCGTAGTGCATATAGAGATGATCGGCGCGGAAAGGAAGCTAAAGCTAATCGGCAATTTTTTGCTATTCTTTTCCAATCCCAGAGGTGTGTATTGCATATGTATATACAAATACTACTCCGTATTTTACTTCCTATGTACTCACGTATACAAAAACAAAGGGTAATGCTTTGCATATGAAATACGAAGTATGAATAATTATTAAATTATTTTTTCGTTTAGAGAGCGAACAGAAGAAACCATTGGAGAAGGAAAATCATTTTAATAGTCTATCACTACTACAATTTTGGCTATTTGCTGCGGTTGTTTTTGTTTATTTGCTGCGGTTTTGAACCGCAGCAAATGGAGGAGCAGCAAAAAGCAGAATAAGTTATTTGCTGCGGTCATGAACCGCAGCAATTAGGTTTGCCAAAATTATGAACAATTTGTTGCTGCGGTTACAACTACAAATTGCTGCGGTTAAAACCGCAGCAATTACCATTTCAATAGCAACACGTAGTTTTTAGTAAATGAGCTGTTATTTTTGTTTCCTAATGCTATCCACGTGTGAATCTACAACAAATTGAATCTTGTTTATACAATAAGTAACTCTCTTTTCCAAATCTATGTTCATAAATACGAACTGAAAACGTAACTTCCAAATTATTCAGTTCTACAACACCAAGGTTAGTACAAAAAGAATACAATACATAATACCAACTTGAAGTAAATCCACCATCTAAAGTATATAATCTACAATAAACTATCAATAATATATATGGCAAATGCACCACGAACTTCAAATATTTAATCATTCTTCCAAATCCTCGTCCTTTGGGTGCTCCGATAAACCTATGATATTAAACAAAAACTATAAGCTATATAAGCACCTGAAAACGAGTTGGTACAAACTACATAAAAAGTAGACTTGAAAACTAACCTGAGTACTGCTGCTCTCTTATGTTCCAGTGAATTAGAAAACTCAACCTTAAAGCATACTATCTACATAGGAGCATTTAAGTGACATAATACATAAAATACATCATAGAAAGAACAAGTGGAACATTTTAACTTGACTTGTAAAATACATCAACCCGTTATATTTTTAACGGGTATAATTGATTTGCCAAGTTATAATTGAATTATAATCCAAACTTTGGTCAATAAAAAAGTTAGCTTTAAAGAGGTCCTGTGATACTAGGGCCTTTTATATATACGTGAAGTAACATAGATTACTCAATAGGTTACCTCTTAAGAGATCTCACATATGCACACAACATATACTAGACAGAGAAGCGAATCTTTCATTATCCACTTTTGTGTCTCTACTCATGCCACCAAAAGAGAGTGAACCAGTTAAGCTGCCACAGAAAAAGGAAGAAAAAAAAACATTAGACAATTTTCCCTAAAACTTATACGATGGTTTTTACCTTCTCGAAATCCCTAACTTGAAACACTTCATCAAAGTTACATGGATTTGAACAATCGTAGAAGAACAAATTCCATTAAAAATTGTATAGTTAATAAGTGTTATGTGGTGTGTCATAAATCTCCCAAATTAAAATGGTCTTACAATTCATTCAAAAGATATCAAATTGAACTAAACTCTGTTCTTGTTTGTAATAGAAAACATGTAATTTCCATCCCTAATCCAAAATATTTGTAGACTGGGGAACATATTGGATTTTGTAAGACCATTTTTAATTTGAATTTAAATCAAAGTATAGAGTGTCATTAATCGCACAAATGCATTGTGTCATTTTTCATGCTTGATATGTCCTAATTTCCTAGGATAATTACAAACTAGAATATGCTCTGAAAACCAATCATACAAGTTGAATTGTTTGTTCTTGAAAATCTAGAATAGAATCTGCTTATGAATCTGAGGTCGTGATGTTTAGAAAACCTTCCAGATTGGTAAAGTTAGCCTTGGAATGTTACTTATGACTCTCTACAATGCTATCACCTAGATCTTCCTCCAGTTTTGCTTGTTTCATTCTCAATTAGGAACATCCTTGAAACTGTACAGCTTAGTTGCAAGACTTTTTGAATCTGTTAACGCTCCACAGCCTTTTGATCTTTCCTATAAGTTCTATTTGTATACTACAATGCAATATTTTAACAAGTGGAAGATTAAGATTTGGGGAAAATCTGATCACTTAATTCTAATTCTCTTTTCTTTTCATCATTGTAATGTGCATACATATAACTACATAAGGTTCAAGCACGAAATGAGACAAAAAACTATCACTTCTTTCTTTTTTTCTAAGTTCAAATTTAAGAATACATACCAACAATTAATTATTTTCATTTCTTGTTCATCACTATTTACTAGACAGAACCAACAATCACATTGAAATCAGACAACAGAGCAATCAATTATACCCGTTAAAAATTAGATTTCAAGTTTCAACGGGCACAACAAAAAATAACTCACCCAGGTGAACAAAAGAGATATTTTTTCAATCCAAATAAGGTCTAACATAAAAATACGAAGTAATAATTAAGGAATAAGTGGAAGCAGAGCTAATTTTGCAAAATCGAAACTTCATTAAACATCAACATCAATATTAATTTATAAATTCATGAAAAATTAGACGGTCATAAAATGAGAAATAATTAAAACAAAGCAATTGAAATGATAACATATTTAGAAATAAACCTCTTGTAGTGCAGAGGCAACTCAACTTGAGTGGTGGCCGGTGGTTTTTTTTGTAGAGGGCGGCGGCTTAATTTCTAGACTGGGAGAGATGGCGACGACGGCATGTTTTCTAGACTGGGAGAGACGGCGACTTTCTCCTAGGCTGGTTGTTTCCTAGACTGGAGAGAGACGGCGACGGACGACTAGGGCAGCTTCTTTCTCGTAGGGGAGCGGCGAAGTTCTCAGAGGGGTAGCAGCAGATTGAGAGGGGGCGGCGGATTGGCTTAGGGTGAGGCTACTATCGAGTTTGGCATTTATTATTGATGCGTTAATTTTACATATCATTATTGGATGACCACGGCCCATATTTTAAGCATCAATTGCTTCGGTTGTTGCTTGCACGCAGCAAAAAATGCAATTCTTTTACGTAATTGCTGCGGTTTCTCATAAAACGCAACAATAAGTCCCAAAAAAGTTAGGTATTTGCTGCGGTTCGTTTACGACCGCAGCAAATACATGTAAAAATCAATCAATTGCTGCGGTTTTTCATAGGCCCGCAGCAAATGAGGAGCAGCAAATATAGAAAATTCTAGTAGTGTATGAGTCCAAATCAGCCTCACGGGCTATTTAAATGGATGACATGTCCATTGTTTTAAGGGTGCAATTCACGTTCCTATTGGAGATGCTCTTAATTGCAATTCAATTTGCGATCGAGAAAGTACTAAACTTCTGAATAAGTGACGAACAAAACAAAACCAGTAAACTACGAAAAGAGAACAATATTGAAAGGAAAGTTGCGCTAGTAGAAGATAAACTACCTACTATGAGCTCGGGAGTCGAAAAGAAAGAAAATTGATTATCAATTCATCGTTTACCTTGAAAAAACCCCTTTGACGGAAAAACATGTAATATTTGTGGACGTTGTTTATGAATTACGAAGTTTAAGAACACCGATCTTCAAATATTTAAAGTTTTTAATATTTTAATACTTAGGTGCTGTTCTGTTCGTCTTATTCTTATTACTTATTCTTATTTTATTCAGATCAGATCAGATCAGAAAAATTCAGATCAGATCAGATCAGATCAGAAAAATTCAGATCAGATAAGATCAGATCAGAAAGATTCAGATCAGATCAGATCAGATCAGATCAGAAATATTCAGATCAGATCAGATCAGATCAGATCAGATCAGAAATATTCAGATCAGATCAGAAAGATTCAGATCAGATCAGACCAGATCAGAAACATTCAGATCAGATAAAAAACATTCAGATCAGAAAAGTTCAAACATGATTTATCACTTTTATTATTATATTAATTATTATTATTAATATTGTTATTACTATTATGATTATTATCGTATAATTATTATTAATAATATTAATAATAATATGATAAAAAAATAAGATATTAATATAGTTATAATATTTTAATATAATAATAGTAATAAAAATGCAATTATTAAGAAGACTATTATTATTATTACAATATAATAATAATAATATGATTAATATTATTATAATATTATATTGTAATTATGTGTAATTATAATTATACTTACAATTATAATTCTTATAATTATAACTATATCAATTGTAATTATTATAATTGTATCTATAATTAATTATAATTATAATTGTAATTAATTATAATTATAATAATTATAATTACAATCATAATTATAATTATGATTATAATTATAATTATAATATAATATTATAATAATATAATACTAATTATAATAATAATAATATTATTCTTATTATTATGTTATTTTAATAATAATATTAATATAATAATATTGTTATAATAATATTAATTGTATTTATATTACTATTATTATATTATAATATTCTAATTAATGTTAATATAATTATAATTATTATTAATTATAAATATACTTATAATTATATTATAGTTATAATTTATGATTATAATTATTATTTTTATTATAATTATTATTATTATTATTGTTACTATTGTAATTATTTTACGGAGTAATTATAATAATATTGATAACTATAGTTACAATTATAGAGATAAACATTGTAATTATAATTACAATTATAATTATATAAGTAAATATAATTAAAAATATAATTACAATTATAATTATATCTATATTTATTTATTTTTGGATACATCGAAAAAGATTATATCTATATTTATAATTAGTGTAATATGTATAAATTTTTTCATTTTAAATTCAATTTTAATTATTATTATTATTTTTATAGTTACGATTATAATTATAATTTTATTTAAGTTATATTTGTAATTGCAATTATAATAATTATAATCATAAAAATATTCAAATCAGATCAGATCAGGAAGATTCAGATCAGAAGGATTCAGATCAGATCAGATCAGACCAGATCAGAAACATTCAGATCAGATCAGGAAGATTCAGATCAGATCAGATCAGATCAGAAAGATTCAGATCAGATCAGAAAGATTCAGATCAGATCAGATCAGATCAGATCAGAAAAATTCAGATCAGATCAGATCAGAACTTAAAAAATTCAGATTAGAAACATTCAGATCAGGCGAAGAGAACAGCTTCTTACTCCTTACGTCCCGATTTGTTTTGCAAAGTCAACATTTTTTGGTCAACCAATATTAAAAGTTAATGCTACTTATTGATAAGGAAAAATTGAAAATAATAATCCCAACTATTGACGGTCCGCCGATAATAATCTCAACTATTGATTATTTTTGTATAATCCCAACTATATGAACCGTCCGCCAATAATGGCCCATGATCTGATTTAACTCCTATAAATTAAGTGAATTTTAACTATAAATTAAGTGTAAGAATTAAAAGTTGGTATTATTTATAGGCATTACTTGTTATATCTCTTCTCATCCACTTTAAAAACTACAAGAATTTATTCTTAGAGACCATTATTAGCGGAAGATCCCTAAAGTTGTGATTATTCTGAAATAATCAATAGTTGAGATTATTATAAGCAGACCGCCGATAGTTGGGATTATTACTATCAATTTTTCCTATTGATAATTAATTAAATATTTAATAATTAAAATTTACACATTCCGAAACTACATTTAAATCTCTTCAAAGTTGTAAAATCTAAATTAGAATATAATTAAAAATTGACATTCTAATTAGGCGAATGAAATGAAACTGTTTGACAAAAAAAAGTCAAATTTGCAAATAAATTCTAGACGAAGATAGTACTTCTTAATAATTAAATTTACATTTTTAGAAATTATAACAAAATTTGTATGAAATTGCAAATTCTATTACGGACTAGAATATAAGGAAAGATTAATATTTCAATTAAATAATTAAATAAATAAATAAAATGAAACTTATTGAGAAAAAAGTGATTTTACCAATTACGGAGTATTTGAGATGATGGTAGTTTAGAGAGAGAAACCCGCAAGATTTGGAAACATGTTCGTCGCCATTGACATGGCTGAATGCTATCGCAGAATCCAGCGTCCATATAATTCTAATGAAATTCTGACAAACGAATTCTTCTGTTTAGTTCGTTTTAGATTTAGAGAGAGAGGGACAACTTTCATGTCTCAATTCCTCTCCCTTCGTTTCCACCCTTAAGCTATTGGCCTCTTTCCCCGTACGGAACCTTCATTTTCCCGGGAAATTCATCTTCTACCGATATTTCCCGGGAATCCACCGATCTTCCTCCCTCAACAATGAGAACGAGTCAAGGTGTAGGATCTCCGTCGAGGAGAAGCATGTCCATGTCGGCGGCGAGCTCGCCGTCCTATGCCCGAAGGAGATCCTTAGCAGCTGACAATTCGGGAGGAGCAACACCGTTAGACTCCTCTTCCCGCAAGTCTCTTTCCTCGTCTCGCTCAATGTTAGCTTTCTTCTTCCCCTTCCCTTGATATGTACTGCATCATTGTAACGGCTTATTTTGCATGCTCTATTTATATTTCTTCTTTGATCCGAGGTTCGGTTGCATAAACATTGCTTTAAATTAATTGAATTTTTCTTACATTGATTGAAAAATGAGGTTGAGAAAATATAGATTTGAGTCATACATGCTCAGACTGCAAATAACTAATTGCAGATTTTTATGCTGTTTGATGTGGCAAAACCTCCAAAGTTTTGCATCCATATATGTAGCTTTTCAAACGATGTTCCTAAAATGATTGCATTCCTAGTATATCATACTCCTCCATCCCAATTTATTTGAGGTTTTAGCAACTTTTACACATTCGAAGGTTCCACTTCCACACACAAGGACACTACATCCGTTTTTATGACTTTTTTTGTAATATGTCCTACAAGAGTAATACTTTTAGAAGCCATTATTTTTTCATCACATCCTCGCATTTTCTTTTTCTGGAGCTGATTAATTATTTTTCATAACATGCTCTACGAAACTTTCTGTTCTTTATTAGGTGTAGTTTTTTCTGTTTGAAACAACTAGCAGTAGTTATAAATATTGTTATTACCACTACTTATCTTGAAAAGTTATCTCATTTTGTTTAAAGAGATCAAATAAGGATAGTTTAGCAAGGAAAGAGAAAGTGATAATCCCAAATTCAAAAGGTTCAATTATTTTGGGGCTGAAATTAGAAGCCAAAGCGTCAAATAATTAGGGAGTGACAGAGTATTTCTTAATATTTTCTTCTCTTTCGATGCATGAGTTGAAACCATTGCTTTTTTATAATGAATTTGAGATCCTTGTAACTGTTCCATTTTGAGATTGAACCCATACCAGAACCAAGATAGTTAGATGGGTGCCCCTCCAGTGAAAATCCCTTAAATAATAAATTGAAACATCACTTTGATTCATTTATTTACACCTGAGTGAGAGGATGGGATAACTGCTTCTTCACATCTTCTATCCACCATTTTCCTTTCACTTTTTGGCTTAGATTGTATTTTGCTAATTGTTAATAATTTCTCTAATTCCCTCTGGGGATAAAATACTATGCTTTTACTGTAAGTTCAGGGACACCATGGACATATGTTGGTTTTGTTTTTCTGATTAATTAAATAAGAACATAGATGTCCCTAACCACTTTTCACTTTTCATACTAGAAAAGCACCATTATGGTCTTTTTTTTGAGTGGCTATATAGTTTTTTAAGTTCATCAATTTATTATGCCACCAATCTGGAGCAGGGGACTGACAGGAGAGAGGACGGTGAAGAGATTGCGTCTGTCAAAAGCTCTCACAGTACCTGAAACAACAACAATATATGAGGCTTGCCGACGTATGGCTGCTCGCAGAGTTGATGCTTTATTGTTGACTGACTCTAATGCATTGCTATGTGGGATCATGACAGACAAGGTTTGACTTTAATAATGTCTCATTCTTCTAAACAAAATAATGAACCAAGCAGAACAAGTGTGTTATTTAAATGTCTGATGGCTCTTCATGGAGTCTTGAACATAGATGCCTTCTTTTAACTATATGCATTTTGTCTTTTTTTTGTTCATACGAATGAAGGATATCGCGATAAGAGTAATTGCTCGTGAAATTAATATTCAAGAAACACCGGTTTCGAAGGTGATGACAAGAAACCCGGTCTTCGTGCTATCCGACACTCTTGCCGTTGAAGCCCTGCAGAAAATGGTGCAAGGTATTTTTTTGCTCTCTACTTCTTCACATGAGAGGAGTCTTGTTATACAATATTCCATATCTGACTGCAGGCAAATTCAGACATTTGCCAGTTGTGGAAAATGGTGAGGTCATTGCTTTGCTTGATATAGCAAAATGTCTGTATGATGCTATTGCTCGCTTGGAAAGGGCGGTTGAGAAGGGAAAGGCTATAGCAGCTGCTGTCGAAGGTGTTGAAAAGCACTGGGGGGCATCTGCTTATGGTTGGTTTTCTCTGAATTCCCGTCCATATTATTTTCCAAGGCTTTATGACTCATTCATAACATTTCTATGATCATTTTTAGTTGAAGATGTTTTTGGTGCTCACTTATTGTAGGTTCTAATACATTCATTGAAACAATTAGAGAGCGGATGTTCAGACCCTCCTTGTCTACAATTGTACCTGAGAATTCAAAGTAGGTAATACCATTAGATTATAAATGATTATTATTTATACTTGTATGTTTTACATGCTAATATGCGATTCATAAGCAGCTATTTGAAAGATGGATTTAACATAATTTATTGTATTGTTTTTTCCAGGGTTGTTACAGTTGAACCAAGCGATAATGTTCTAGATGCAGCAAAGAAAATGCTCGAATCTCGGACAAGTTCTGCTATTGTAGCAGTTGAGAGCAAACCATGTGGAATTCTTACGTGAGTTCTTTTATATTTTGATCATTTTTACAACTACTACGTAGTGTGGACATATTGTGATTAGATGACTTTCACATGCTTTTCAGTTCAAAGGATATCTTGATGCGAGTCATAGCACAAGACCTATCTCCCGAGTCAACTTTAGTGGATAAGGTACTTTTTTTTTTGCAGTTGCTTGTTCAAAAGACACTTTTGCTATTAATTTAAAAAAATTAGGTAAATTGGGCATGTTGCTTGTACTTCTCATGATAAAATTTATAAGCTACGACTTTTTGCACTAAACAATTATAAACATTTGCTGTCATGTATGGAATTAACACCATTGATTATATATGTCACTTATTTTAATATCTAACTGTAGGTCATGACCCCTAATCCAGAATGTGCAAGTGTTGATACGCCTATATTGGATGCTTTACATAGGATGCATGAGGGGAAATTTTTACACATGCCTATTGCGGATAAAGGTAAATATCCTTTTTGAAGAACCCAGTAAGGTTGACCATATATGTGTAAAATTTCTTACTTCAACATTTATGATCTGTCGCAGATGGAGCAATTGTTGCAGTTGTTGATGTGATCCATATCACTCGTGCTGCTATTTCCACAGTAAGGCACTCGTTTGTGCATCACTTTGGTGCCAAATGGTTTATAGAAGCCTGGGTGGTGCTGGACGTACCCAATCACATTTTATTGTGTTTAATCACTTTTGGAGAAATAACATTTGTAACAGTTAGGAGAGAGGACTTTTGAATTTCACTCTTGGAAATTGGAATAATATATTATGTAAACTCTTTTGGGACTAAGGGCTTGGATGTTGTTGTTGTTGCAATGAACTATTTTGTAAAACTAATGTAGTCGCAGAACTCTCAAAACATAAAAATGTTCACCCACCCGAGGTGCGGGGGGGGGTACAGTGTCCACGAGTGATCTGGCGCCACTTGAATCGTGTTAAGAGTACACTTGTCACTATTCTGGTGGCCCACATAATTGGTGGACGGAGTAGATATATTACAAAACTTGTACCATCTTAGACTGATAGGGGGTAGTTATATTACATCTTTTACCACCTTGCACATTAATTTATATTTTATCATGATAGGGTTGTTGTAAATCCAGAACTTGTAATCACTCTAGAATCATTTTACTAACGAATAACCCTGGTTTCATTAGCAGGTAGGAAGTACTGCTGGAGTTAATGAAGAAGCTGCAAACACTATGATGCAAAAGTTTTGGGATTCTGCTATGGCATTAACTCCTAACGATGATGAAGAGACACACAGGTTGCGAGTCTGCTACCTGCTCATGTGCCTTGTTCTTTCTGCATTCACGATACAAACTAATTTCCTGTCCTTATCTAACATTTACTTATTGCTTTGAAAAAACAGTGAAGGTTCCTTGAAGTTGGCCTCAGAAGGGCAGGAGACTGGAATATCACTTCCATTTCCTTCGTCAACACTGCCAAATACTTTTGCTTTTAAGATTCAAGACAGAAAGGGAAGGATGCACAGGTTCACCAGTGGTATGTCTGAATAGTTTAAAAAGTTCTTTAAACATAACATGGTGTTATTTTTAAGAGTTTCTTTCCCTAGTATTACTGAAATAAAACTTTATGACAAAAAATGTGACTAAAGTTATAAATGTGTAGTGCTCTTTAAAATTGAACATAACCATAGTCACTAAAAGTTACTATTGTGGTCACTATGTTCAAAAAACCACATTTTGTCCACTGTCCTTTCATTATTTTAGTTAAAAGATATGATGACAAAATGACAAATATGTCACAAAAATATGGCTTTTATATAGCAATGCTACGGTGTTGTTTTTGCAGCAGACCATATTAAATGTTCAACTTTAAGATGTGACTATATTTTTATTTTGCAGTAACCGCATAGTCATATTTTTTACGATAAGTTATATTATAGTGATATTATAGGAAAAAACTTTCTTGCGAACAACCAACATAAAAAAAACTATTCAACAATTAATTGGTAAATGTACGTTTAATTAGCAATAGCTATTATAACAACATCCAAGCCTGTCCTAAAACAGTTTTGGTAGCAATAGCTTTTATATTACTTATACAAAATATGATTTATCGTAATCCATATGGCTCTGATCCTTTATGGTTTATGGAGTTCAGATACCCGAAGCATGACAGACCTCATGACTGCAATACTTCAAAGATTGGGGAGCGACATTAACTGGAATAATCTTCCTCAAATTCTGGTAAGAATGAGACCTCAAAACTTTCTTCCCGTTAATGAGAAAGTCCATATGTGCACACATATGTAAAGTACAACACTTTACACAAGATGGGCCAGACTAGAAATCCTTAACTGGTATTGGGTTCTGGGGACTGTTACGTCCTAACTAGACTGTAATCTTCATAGAGTGGTCTAGTCATTCCTCGTAAAATCTGAATTGGGGTTGCACCCTAATATAAATAGCCATGCCATTAATCTCGGTTATATTGCGTATCTCGGGAATTGTGAAAAAACTGTGGCTTGGCATTGACAAACTAGGAAAACAATCTGCGTCTTTTATCATTTTTCTAACTTCTTTCTTGTTCTTCACTGTGAAAAAACCGTGGCTTGGCATTGACAAACTAGGAAAACAATCTGCGTCTTTTATCATTTTTCTTGCTTGTTCTCCACCATCATAACAAACAAAATCTGCAAAGAATTCATACATAAATTTTAAGAAGTAAATTGTAACATTTCATACACTTTGGTATGATTTATCTTTCAATCTTTGTTTTAACTAACTTCCAACACACAGTAATATAGTGAAAAAGATAGCTAGACCAGACCAAGACGGGCCTTGGGGAACTAATATAGTACGCTGAAATTTGGGACATTTTCTCATGGATAATATTTTTTTCCCACTACAGTATGAGGATGAAGACCAGGACAAGGTCGTACTTGCATCTGACAGTGACCTCATCACGGCTGTTGAGCATGCAAGGTCTGCTGGTTGGAAGGTAATGTATACTTGCCGTTTCTTTTACATAGTTGAATTACAACTATCATGACCTTAAGATCTGAAGTTCTATTCGAAAAGATCAAACTGAAAAGAAGAGTAACTCATAATATTGTATATTGGTAGAATATTTCATACTTTTCCAATGATTTTGTGCAAATAAATAGTCACCTTTTCATCATATGCTAATAACAATAATAACAACATAATAATAAACTTGACGTACAGGGATTGAGGTTGCACCTAGATTACTCAAGAGTTCCACATCGTGGGCTGGGGGGTTCTGGATCAAGCAGTATGGACTTCGCTCACCAGACTGATGCATGGGCTGCAGCCTACAGTGCCGCGGCCACTGGTGCTGCATTAGTCGCTGCTTTAGGCGTATTGGCCTTTTTGAGAAGAAATAATAATTGATTTTTTTTTTTGAATTAATCCAAACCGGTCAGCATTTTCTCTTGTTGTGTGTAATTTGTGTTGTATCATTGTTGTTATATATATGGGCTCCAATTTAAGAGGTTCTTCTGATCAGAATCTAGAGTGCTGTGTATTCTACCACCCAGTTTTTGTACTCCACTGAACATATGAGTTCTGGCCTTGAATAATGCTTTTGAGCTTTTAAAGCAAGGTATCAAAGCAATTAGAATATTATAGTAATCACTTTTTAATTAAGTTTAAAAAGTGTAAATATTAAAAAGTTGGATATGGTATATCTAGTGTGCTTTTGGCTATATGGGGTACAGACATTTTACATTTAAAAAGTAAGGGATAAAAAATGTTTAAAGTTGAATTAACTTTGTTCGCACAACTCCGTTATAAACCTTTTGTATTAAAATTTTACAATTCGTAAAGATTATTAGTGGAACTAAACGAAAGCAAAACTGGCCATTTACATTTTTAATATAGGTATATCTAGCTGTCTATGAACAACATACTAATATTCAAAAATTACATAACTTTGGTAAAGAAAGATGGAAATTATGTTAGTCGTGCTAACTTTTTGTTGAAGAAATATTTGAGTGATGAAACTTTGCATGGCCTGAAAAATAAAAGTTGTATTTGCAAATATTAAAACCACATCTAAGCTTTATGAATATATTGCTAAATAGATTGTTATAGTATCAATAATAACAAATTGCAACCCTTCAGTAGATGTTAGTACCAAAATTTATACCAAGTTAAGCTATTGAGAAACTTTAAAACCGTTTTGTAAAAATACAGTTAAAAAGAGAGGGAATACTCTTGAATATACCGTTTTGAGCACCTTTGATGATATTGAAATTGACTTAACCTGTTAAAATTTGTCAAAGATATTAAAATATACTTTAGAATATGCATTATAATATTTTAGGAATATACTATGAGATATTTTCATGTTAGAATCTTATAGGAATATTCTATCTTGTAATGTATATTTACAGGACTTGACCCTCTAATAAGATACATAGAAAACTTTTTTCTCTATCTTTAATACGTAGTACTTCTCCCGTTCCGCTAAGATTGTCTCATTTTACCTTTTCGGGAAGTCCCACTAAGATTGTCCCATACCAAATTTGGTAAAGTTTGTGTGGCTCTAAATCATTTTTACTTTATTGTTATTCTATCAATTTAATATCAACCACACAAACCCACTTTTCCTAACAATCGTGTCATCTTCTCTTGTCCCAATCTTAGTGGGACGGAGGTAGTATTAAACAAGTTTATATTTCAACATGGTATCAGAGCCTCCCATTTCAGTTTAGTTTTTAGGCAGTTTTTCTTTCTTTCAAAATCTCAACTTAGAACATCTACACACCATTCTTTCTCTAAGCACTTCGAGAACATCTACACACCATCTCTCAGAAGCAACCTTCCTTATCTCTATCGAGTCGACCATCTGACCTGATAAATAACTAGTCACCTTTTCATCATATGCTAATAACAATAATAACAACATAATAATAAATTTGCCGTACGGGGATTGAGGTTGCACCTAAATTACTCAAGAGAGCCACATCGTGGGCTGGGGGTTCTGGATCAAGCAGTATGAACTTCGCTCACCAGACTAATGCATGGGTTGCGGCCTACAATGCCGTAGTCACTGACATTAGTCGCTGCTTTAGGCATATTGGCCCTTTGAGAAGAAATAATAATTGATTATATTTTTGAATTAATCTAAACCGCTCATCTTTTTCTCTTTTTGTTGTATGTAATTTGTGTTGTATCATTGTTGTTATATATATGAGCTCTAATTTAAGAGGTTCTTTTGATCAAAATCATAGTGTAATATATTCTACCATCCAGTTTTTGTATTCCACGGAATATATGAGTTTTGTCCTTTATATTATTCTAGCTTATATTTCAACATGGTATCAGAGACTCCCATTTCAGTTTAGTTTTGAGGCGGGTTCTCTCTCTCTAGAATCTAAGTTCAATTCAAAACCTCCACACATCATTCTTTCTCTAAGCAGTTTAAGAACATCTACACACCATCTTCGAGAACCTTTGTTCAGAACCTTACTCCGTAATGAACCCGTGAGATTTCTAACGATTCGGCTCGATCTATTTCCAAGGATGGAACCATTCGGTACCATGTTGTTTCAAAACTATACAAAACAATATGCTACAATATTAAACTCATGCTAAAAGTTTGAACAAATATCATCTTTATTAAAATCATGTGAAAATATAAAAAGAATGTCACCAAATTGTTGAATATAACAGAAAAATTCAACATTCTTCTTCTTTTTTCTAGGTTGAATATTAGTCTAATTTATAGTTGCACTGTGAAAGCTAAGATGTAAACCATATTAATTAAGTTGTATAACTAAAAGTCATATACACTACATTGCTTCAAATTAATAGTCATTAAAGATTTTTAAACCTTTAACATTCTTTCAATATATACCAAAATATAACATAAATTATATGAAAGAAAAAATCGACGGTATTTATATAAACACACACATGTAGCTATTTTAGAGACGAATGAATGCATACTTAAGCTATAAAACTGTTCATCTAAAATTGTGGTTTATTGATATGGAAAAAATATAAAAAACTCAAATGCAATATTTTTTAATGGTACAACCTGTATTTTTTGTTCTCAAAATCTAGGATCGATCTCGTATCCATTCCAATTATGGTTTTGATTTGGAGAAAAAATCTACACAACTGTTTGAATACCCGTTTGACATTTGGGTCGGTTCTGTTTTGCACATACCAATGAACCAATCGACTCCCACAGTCTCTCCCGCCAAGAGATGAGGGTGGGTTTTCCAGGTGTCATCATAACCAATTATAAAAAAATTGACAGACTCAGTTTACATTTCTGCTGAGAACGATTGAGTCAAACATAAACAAAGTTCTAAAATAAGATTGGGTATGTTTTTAAATTCATTTATGTTTTTTTTAATCAAATTATGTTTTCTCTTTTCATCTATACTGGCATACCTGCTTCTGACAAGAAAAAAACTCTTCTATGGTGGTGATTGCAGATATCTCAGTGCTGAAAATAGAGATTTTACAGAAATTACATATTTACTTTCTGCATTTACCTTTTTTGCTGTTGAATAACGCATAATTGCATGTATGTGATTGTATTTGTTGACCGTTTTATTCTTATTTGTAAAGTTTTTCTTTTTCAGTATCGTTTAATACGAATCTTATGTGAAGGAAACCTGCCTTGATTCTGTTATAAAGAACTGAATGCTTTACAATTAGTTTGAGTTCATATCACCACATTTATTGTGAAGTGGGTTTGGTTGGAGGGCCTAGGTTGTCATGTTACTTATGTGCCTATTCATGCCTGATTTACATCGGATTTATAATCAAACATGATTATGGAATGAAAAAGATGCTTTTTAATCAACTTGTGTGTGAAACTGCGCATGCTTTGCTTCATTGTACTCTAGTTGCGGACTAAATGAGAATGGTATGCTACTATGTGCCTATGTAGATGATGGCTGTGTGTAGGAGCTATACTTGCATGCAACAAGACAAAAAAGGGTTGGACAAAAAGGTATCAAGTAAAATACTACTACCTCCGCCCCCCAACATTGGGACAAAAGAGAGTGATGTTGTTATTAAGAAAAGTGAAATTGTGTGGTTAGTATTAAATTGATGAAGTGTGATTAAAGTAAAAATGAATTGTAACCACCCAAATATGATCAAATATGGTATGTGACAAACTTGGTGGTTCGAACGAAAAAGGTAAAAAGGGACATTCTAGTAAGGGGGAAGAGGGAGTAACATTTTCCAGATAATTAAATAAATGAGCTTCATATATCAACAATTGGAGTATATTTACATGGCATGATACTAAGTTGATCCATGTTAAATCTGCCCTTGTAGCACATTAAACAAGAATGACATGCTATGCAATAGACTTTTTAGAATTGTTTTTCTTACAACAATTATAGGCCGTACGTAGTCTTTAATCAACGGTCTTTCCAATTTTACGCTGATTAATGTGACACTAATAGTCATTGCTGCAATATTCAGAGGTCGAAAAGTGGAAAGCCTCTTAGTTCGGAAGAAGAGTGAAGCTAACAACCATAGTTAATTTATTTCACCAAAGTAAAGTTAGATACTTTTGTAAATCTAGACCTCAGATCAATATTGGTTTTTATCAAAATATATTCGGCTAGTTTATCATGCAATTCACTTGTGTCAATATGCTGTGTTATCTCTTTGAAGCTGCATAATAGTGTTTCCTGATGCCTAATCGTAAACTCTAAGCACAGAAATACTAGCACTTCCTTATCAGCATTATAGAACTTTTTTTGGTCACATTGCAGGAGGATTGCTTCTGAACGTGCTGTAATATTTGAATTTACTGGATTGTTGGAGAAAGAGAGGCTGGGACATTATTTATTCAGACACCACACATTGTTTTAAAACTTGTTTTAAGTTGTTCTTGAGGAACAACTAACAGATGTATATAGATATCCAGGTTTTGCTAGGCTATCATTTAGACTTCCAATATTCATCTTATCTGTAAAACCATGATTCATGACATACCCAGTTTATGTGATCATTTTTTAAGAAAGAGATTGCCAACAGTTTGAAAGTTTCACACAATCAAAATGATAATGCCGATTGCAGAATGATTTTTATCTAATTTATTATCATGAACCGCTGTCATCGTACCATTGCACATTTTTTGGTAAAATATCTTATTTCCCCATTTATTAGCCACATTTTATTCCAAGCATTGTTTTTATTTTACTATAGTGGTTGAATTAGGTAATGATATGAAAGAAAATGACATGTTTACCCTTATTTTTGAAAAATGATTATTTTTCACCATTATTTTCTCTAATAAATAAAAAACATGTGTTTTAGCCATATTTACTACAAAACACTAACTTATTTGACTATACTGGTTGATGAGGTTATGAAGGGAAAGAATTGGCATTCCCCATATTTTCAAAATATGATTCCTTTAACCATTTTTTTCAGATATCATTTCCTTTATGTATAAAAAGGATATGTTTTACTGATCTTTTAAATTATTCGGTTGGTTCTTGTCTTGCAAGGACCTCTTACTGGCTCGCGGAGAAGAGGGTTAAAGTTTCAACATTCTGTCCCCACACCAAAATGAAAAAATGCACATGATTTAGGCTTTTGACAGCTCAGAGATATCAGTCCATTGGATTTCTCATTCATGCACATTGCACAAAAAACGTTTTTAATCGTAAGAATAAGGGGGTGACAGAATACAG